TTGCAGAAGAAGAAAATATCCTGCATATTGACCAGTTAAAATTCGAGAGGGATAAGTAGTAAATGGGCATAAAGATAGTATGGAAGCTACAACAATTATATTAATGGTTTGAACTTTTGAAAAGGATGAGAAAGGATGCTTTGTATAGTAGCAAGACCAAGAACAAGATTTAAAAAATGAGAATGAGATTAAAGTATAATGTGTATACAAAGAAAAAGGTAAGTTAGTTAGAAAGCTGAAGGAATAGTTAACTAGAAGAGGCAAAGAAAATGCAGTGATACTGATGGAAATTAAAGAAATGTTTTGTAAGTGGGTAAGATGGCAAAACCAGTGAATGGAATTAAAAATAAAAGTAATGAAATTAATTGGGACAATTCTAAAGTAAGAGAATACTGGAAGGAATATTTTAGAAAGCTTTATCAATACAATGATATTTTGAGTTGAATTGAATTTAAACAAATGCTATAAATTTAATTTATATAAGGAATTGCTATGAATGTTAAAAATAATCAGCCTGTAGATGTAGAAAATGCCTACAGAAATGTTAAAATATGGATGAGGTTGCTTACTGAGTACTACGTGACTTTTTTAACATGTGTGTTGGGACTACATCTATGCTTGGTGGTTGAAACTTGAAAGCATGTCATAATTATTTTCCTATAAAAAGAAAAACAGCAAAAATGAGTGTGGTGGGGATGTAATTTATAAAAAATACCTACAAAATATTTGGCAAAATTCTAATCAAAAGAATATGAGAAATGACAATAAGCAACATTTAAGAAGTTCACTGTAGTTTTTTCTCAGGCAAAGGATGTGCCTCAAAAAGATTTTACTCTTTAAAAAGTAAAGATATGTATGATTACAAGAAAAGAAAGTTTATTGTGTGCTTAATAATTTAAATTTATGATCAAGTAAATAGGCTTGAATTCTGGAATGTTTTCCATGAATATGCAGTTGATGGTTGTTTCTACTCTACTTAATTATACTGAAGTGAGAGTTTGATATGTCAGGGAAATATAAAAATAAATTTAATACTTCTAAGAAATGCATGTGGTAAAACAAAAATAGATAAGATCTAGAATGAATGGATGCTGAATAAATATAAATTAAATATAAAAATGAGTGATCTGTATAAAAGAAAACTGACTAGTCATATAGAGACAACAAATGAGAATCACGTTGCAAAACACATGCAAAGACTGACTAAATTGATACAAAGATAACACTAAGACAATGGTGATTGAATACAGTTAATGAACATGAGCTTTAAAAGACAGAAGGGAAAAGTTTTAAAAACCAAAAGTTAATGTTTTAACAGCTATGTGGATATGTAAAAACAAAATAATTTGAAAAAACAGAAAAGTACGAAGCATTTTAAATGACAACAGCATAAATTAATTTATCCTTATATATGTGTAGCTTTCACAGCTGGTGTCAAGCAAGCAGTGATGAGTTTTCATTCTAAATATTGATGGTCTAGTTTTCTGGTGTCCAGATGTTTCACTGACAATTGTAGCATCTTCAGAGGCAGAGTGAGCTACTTCGTAGTGCATTTCTTGGCCCTTCTATTTGAACTTGGCAAGTTACTCTCTAACTGGACCATATCACAGGAGCCCAAGAATATTGCTTCAAGGTCAGGCAAAAGTTGCAGAATTGGGCACAACTCAACTAACAATTGAATCACTTAGCAACAGAAATTCCAGTCTCAAGTGTGTGATCATAAGTTGAAGACTACCTACAACTAAGACATACTGTACAGTATACTGAAAGCCAACACACATGAGTCATTATTTATATAAAAGTTCCATCATCCTCCCAGAAGTGAAGCATCATCAAAACTCCTACTGATTCATCTAGGACACTGCAAGATTATCAGATGACTTCAGACACCTTGATAATGCTCTATAAGCTAATGCTAATAAGATCAGGGGAGTAATAAATCTAACAACAATAAATACACTGTGCATCCAAAAGCAAATCACCCCCAATAGGAAAAGTGTTTCTCCGCTATATTGAGAAAGTTATAGATCATATTGGAAAATTATTAGAAAAATATCTACATAAAAAGACATAACCTAAAAGCATTCTCCAAGCCAACAGATCATCATTAATACATCATCTGATCACTCAAGGATGGCAGATCATTAGGGTTTTACTACATCCCTTGCAGCTGTGTAAAAGTGTATATTAGAACCACAAGTCCATTAATATTTGGCTTAAAGAACATGAAAGGCATTGCTATAATCAATGTCAAAGAACTTGTCTTGTTCATATTTGACCCACCATCTAATTCAAAGACATACAAGTATTAGCCACCCTGTCAAGCTACCGTGTACCACTACACAGACATACTATCAAGATCCATAAATGTTCCAATAACTTCAAGGAGGAGAGTTTGGAAATCAATAAAACATGGATCCTAGCCTTATGCCACACCATGACTAAATAGCCCTTAGCTAATCACATCAAAAAAAGTAATACTCTGGCTCAAAAACTGGCTAAGGAGGAACAGGTTTTCTTGGATTTCTCCAAAAGAGATCCATCCTACGTCTGGATTTATTATAGGCCACCAAGTTATTGTAAATTCTTAGCACCAGCACAGACAGATTTTCTTTATGCCAATCTGTCCCTCCTTTGGCCCGTCAATTCTTCCAACAGTGCACTCATCGCTATTGCAACTGCATGTATCAATTTCCTACTAGTCATCCTCTTTTCTTTTTTTCCCCAAGCATTTGAGCTTTTACAGAGAACTAGTGTTTTGCATAATGGGTCTAAAATAGGATAAGTAGAGTCTGGTAATTTGTGCCCAATAAGACTCTACATTGATTTGTTTGGTGATCCATTTGTTTGGTTTTTTCCCCCAATCCATAGTATTCTCAGAAATCTTCCATACCAAAATTCAAAAGTTATTTGTGTATATACTCTTATCATACAAAGACCAATCAGCAGCCTCATTCAAGAAGAGGCAAATCAGGAACCAATTCTTTTGGAAGTTCTTCAAAATAGAACAATCTATATAGATGAGAAATCAGCTTTCTTAGAATTCCGTAATATGGGCCAACCAGAGCATCTTGCCAGTTATAAATAGAACCCAGTTAGTTGCCAGTGAAGTACACTGCAAAGTAGCTCAATCTGTCTCTGAAGATGCCACCAAGGCATCCAAAAACCTAGTTATTCAGCCTGAAAGTTCGTAATTGGTTAATTTTCCTCTCTTCTTATTCTAATCTAAACTGTTATTTTTGAGCTGGCATTTATTACTCCTTTTCATAATACAAACACAAGCTTTCCCTTTGGGGTTAAACCACCTTTTCACAAGCTTTCCCTTTGGGGGTGAACAAAAGGGAATCAGATGATGCTTGTGACTCTACTATCACCAATTAAAATATCAATTCAAACTAAAATATATTCATAAAATGAAAGGTTACCACCACCCCCTTGAGAAAATATAATTGCAGTAGCCGCTGAATTTTAGATAGGAAAATAATAATAATAATATAACCTCACACTACAGTAAACAGAAGCTTCATTTCACAAGGCTTCTAGAAATGTAAATAGTTTGCTAGATTGCCAGGTAATTCCATTGCACCATGATCCTTTATAGTAGCTTCATTACTTCGGAACTGTTACGAAAATAAAATTGCAGCACTCAAGGATTACTACACCTTCTACAGAACTGTAGAAGACCTTTGAGTACCTTTGATCAACAGGAGGGCAAAACTTTTATCGGATAGCCCTCAACTTATGACAATTGAGCCCAAAATGTGTTGTTAAGTGAGACATTTGTTGAGTTTTGCCCCATCTTACAACCTTTCTTGCCACATTAGTTAAGTGAATCGCTGTAGTTGATAAGTTAGTAATCCGGTTGTTAAATGAATCTGGCTTCCCCATTGACTTTGCTTGTCAAAAGATTGCAAAAGGTAATCGTGGGGCACAGCAATGGTCATAAATATGAACTAGTTGTCAAACATCTGACTTTTGATTGCAAGACTGTGGGGATGCTGGAAAGGTCGTAAATATGAAAAATGGTCATAACTCACTTTTTTCAGTGCCATTATAACTTTGAGTGGTGACTAAACGAACTGTTGAAAATCGGACTACCTGTATGGACTAAAAGTAAAGGTTCCCCTGGCACATATGTGCTAGTTGTTCCCAACTTTAGGGGGCAGTGCTCATCTCCGTTTCAAAGCTGAAGAGCCAGCAATGTCTGAAGATGTCTCCGTGGTCATGTGGCCAGCATGTCTAAACGTTGAAGGCACACGGAACGCTGTTACTTTCCCACCAAAGGTGGTTCCTATTTTTCTACTTGCATTTTTACATGCTTTCGAACTGCTAGGTTGGCAGAAGCTGGGACAAGTAATGGGAGCTCACTCTGTTACGCAGCGCTAGGGATTTGAACCACCGAACTGCCGACCTTTTCTGATCGACAAGATCAGCATCTTAGCCACTGAGCCACCGCGTCCCACTTACCTGTATGGACTACCTGTATTCAAACATTAATTGTATATGAATAAATTTACACTGAAAAGGAAACAATAAGCCTCTGCTTGGATCCTTGGGTATGATATATATATATATATATAAGATATATATATATATATATATCATGTGATCCTAGAACACTGTTTCTCAAACTTGGCAACTTTGAGATATGCGGACTTCAAACTCCCAGAATCCCCCATTCAGTTCTGTGGAGTGGCCAAGTTTGAGAAACATGACCTTCCACTACTCTTAGGGGGAGAGTAACCTATGCTGGTACAGCTGCCTCTTAAGTCACCTCTGTCCCAACCTCCTCATTCAGAGCACCAAAAATCCGGACGACCACTTATACGTCTAGACTCCGACGATTCGGGAATCCATTTGCTGCCACCTAATGGTCATCCGGATTCTTGCACTGCACGTTTGCTGGCTCCAGACTCAAAAGACATCCCAAGGTGGTGGTGGGGGGGGAGCAGCCAGGCCAATCGTGGGGCGAGGCCGAAACCCGGTCACCGCCCACCTACCGTTCGCCTGACGTCATTCTTCAGTCTTTTCGGGGCCTATAAATAGTCAAGAGATAATGCGCTTTCCTTTGGAGTAGGCTTTCCGCGGTCACTGATGAGTCACTCCTCAAGAAGGAGAAACAGACCGTAGCCCCGCCCCTTCTGAGTCACCACATTGCAGCGATCTGCTCGCGGTGAACCGAAGATGGAAAAAGCCGATAAGGGAGGGAGGCGTGTTACTTTCCTTGCTGCCTGCATTGAAGCCGCTCGCGGCCCGACCGACCTTCTCGAATGCTCTTGTTCCACGACGTTATTCTTTGTTTCACGTCGGTATCCCGCTTGCTATCAAGGCTGAAAGGGACGATACCATCGGCTTCCCGGTTGGCCAGTGACGTGTCTTGTGGGGGCCGGAGGACGCCTGGGAAGTTGATTGGAGTAGTCGAAGTCTTAAAGAGGCAGCAGATGACACACACACACATACACACACCCCGGTGGAAAAAGAGATGGTTGTTGAAACGTCTTAATAGATCAGGGGTCTCCAAACCTGGCGACTTTAATACTTGTGGACTTCAACTCCCAGAATTCCCCAGCCGGGGAATTCTGGGAGTTGAAGTCCACAAGTCTTAAAGTCGCCAAGTTTGGAGAGCCCTGTCTTAATAGATGATGACTGCAAAGTTTTTCAATTTTTCAATAAATGGTAGCTAAGCAAAAATCCCCAAAAACGTTTCACAAACCCTGCAATACCCTCATTATTTACCCAAATGCTTGTATTCTTTGCAGTAGGCCCCCCCTCAAAAAAATCCATTGTTACTCCCATTGATCAGTTATTGGTGAAAGTATATTCTATCTAAGACATAAAATGACAGAAGCAGGGCTTTCGTTCTAGAGTTAGTCCCCTTAGTCCTTCATCAAAGAGCCGAGGTGGCGCAGTGGTTAGAGTGCAGCACTGTAGGCTACTTCAGCTGACTGCAGTTCTGCAGTTCGGCTGTTCAAATCTCACCGGCTCAAGGTTGACTCAGCGTTCCATCCTTCCGAGGTGGGTAAAATGAGGACCCGGATTGTTGGGGGCAATATGCTGATTCTGTAAACTGCTTAGAGAGGGCTGAAAGCCCTATGAAGCGGTATATAAGTCTAACTGCTATTGCTATTGCTATTATCTACACTGGCTTGAATGGTCTGGCCATGAAAAAAAGTCTAAACTTGTTTATCTTATATAAGCAAGTCCTGTTTCCTTTAGTTAGGCATCCTCTAGATAGTAAGCAGAGGATTATAGTTTTAAAGGTAAACTAGTTCTCCCAAATCTGGGGAAAAGTGTTGGAAGAAGTTTTGGAATACAACTGTTCACCACTATATCTTGAAGTGGTGAGGGAGAAGCCAGTGTTTTTTCAATCTTGGCAACTTCCAGGTAAGTGCACTTCAACTCCAGAATACCCCAGCCAGAAATGTTAATAGTTGAAGTCCACATATCTTAAAGTTACCAAGGTTAAAGAACATAATATAGGCAGATTTAGAATTTTGAAGGTAGTGAAGCAATTTAACATTGCTGCCATCTTTGCACATACACACAGTGATCCTGCTGGGCTGTTCCGAGTAGAAAAAAAATGTTATAATAGTAATTGTGGAAACTTAAGAAGACATCTCAGTGACTCACTGGGTTATATTTGCCAGACATTGTGTTTATGTTCCTCTAACTTAAAAGTCCATAATTGTTCCTTTAATGTAAATTTGTTGGGGTAGTATAGACATATTTCATTTAGGCAGTCTGAATACGCATATTTTTTCTGAAATAATGTAATCAATGATATATCTACTTGGTCCTTGTCTTTTCTGGCAGATTTAGACAACCAGAAAGTATGTTCAAGTAGATACAGAGATGGTAAACACACCTTTGGAAGGACAAAGGAATTACACTGATATTTGTCAATCTGAAGAAACAGATAGCTGGGAAATTCTGAGAATTAAAGTTCACACATGTTGAAGTTCCTGAGATTGAGAAACACCTGAATTACACAATTCGATTTTAAAAATGCCGTTGTGAACTATTTGTTGATGAAGCCACTTGGACAGCTTTGTGTTTCCAAATTGTTATCTTTAGGCAAGATACTTGAACTTGCTTGCTGTTTTAGAGGTTTATGAATGAAATGAATTATCTAGCCGAATTTAATCTGGCTTAAGGCAGGTTTTTAGATAAGAACAACTCTAGTTGCTATGGCAGATCATTTATACTGCCAACTAGATAAACAGAATTCATATCTGTTGGTGTTATTGAACTTCTCAGTTGTATTTGCTGTCCTCACAGGATTTCTGTTGGTGGAAGAGAGCTTTGGTGACTTATATTTATTCCTATAATACTTTACCTATAGTGACACTCACGGTTTTACCCCGTTTTCCATGTTTTTAACATCTGCATGAAACCATTAGACACCAAAAGTAAACAAAAGATTTGGGGATTTGTTACCTATATGAGGATGCCAGAAAATAATAGGTCTTGTCACCAAGAAAGCTTACTAATGTTCCGAAATAGTATTTAGAGTCACTGATGTCCTGGAAGAAGAGTAACAAAAATAATCTACGATAAGGGGAGATGTAACTAGTCAGGAAGCAGATGAATTCAAATACAAATACAATCTGTTTTGGTTCAGATAATACTTCCCTTGAAGAAAGGGATTTCAGGTTGATGTCTATACTCTATACTATTAAAACTTGTGTCTGAAACCTTTAACTGGGCAAAATTGTACACCATAGAGCAAAAGTTTTTCAATCAAGGTACCTCAAATGGATTAAACACAGAATGCCCCCAAATTCTGGGATTCATGATTCCACTGGAATTGAAATCTGGAAACTTTATAAAACATGACTTAAAAATTATCATGAAGCATGTTATGACAGAGTACAAAATGTCATAAAACATTTCCTGTGGTCAGCTCCTGATATTTGACTATGCTATACAGTTCCACATGGGTTACTTTCAAGGCAGATATATCTCTGAATATCTTCCTGAATGTTTAACAACTTTTAAAATTCATTAGAAGTTCCACCATTGTTGGAGGCATTGAGAAATTTGGTACAATAAGAAAATAACTTTGAAATGATGACCCAAGGTCACAGGTTATCTAGTTACTTGTAAATTCTGCAAGTATGTGGAAAGTGAGGTTATAAGTAACTTTCCCTAGTTTAAATAGATACATCAATTGTGTCTATTCTTGATGAGGTCAGACCTGGATTTGGTGACACAAAGCTTGTAATTACATCTGAACTACGTTACCTGTGTCATGATACTCATAACGTCTTGTAAATTAATGATGCAAGGGTCAGATAAAAATGCAAATTAGCATTACCAAACCTACAAGAACACACTAGTTACAGATTTGTTTTCAGGCACAATTCAGTATAGTATTGAAGACTTTCAAATTTCTCAGACTGAAGTCCAAGATATTTTAGGATTACCTTTGTCCTGAATTAGCTTCCCAGCTCTAACTATGGTGGAGATCCAGATAATATGAATGAGAAAAAGGATTATCTTGTGATTGTATTATAATCGTGGAATCTTCCCCTAAATTGATGCACTCTTTAATAGCGGTGGAGTGCTAGAGTTAGATTGTTATCGAAATCTTTTTCATGTAATTATGCTATTATTTTACTGCAATTAAATTGTATGTTACTATCGTAACGTAAGCCGCCCCAAATAGTGCACAGTACAAGCAAGGTAGAATTATATATTTATACTAAATAAAATAGTAGCAAATGTTATTTTCTTATCCTATTTGCCTTTCATCTAGGGCAGGGCTGTAAAACTCCCGGCCTGCAGGCCAGATGCATCACGCGCTGGGCACGCCCATGCCCGGTTAAGTGAAGGGGGGGAAGTGTCTATATGTCACGTGACACCACCGTGATGATGTGAGTTTGACACCCCTGATCTAGGCTCATGAAGAGTTCTGGAGAATGCAAATTTTGATTGGTCTGCCCTAATAGCAGTCTTTAAAGATGTTTTAAATTAAATTGTAATGCATTTTGAGGAAATTGTCAAATTGAAGTCTTGCTTGTATGCACAGCAGAAATGGATGCATTTGAAAGAAAAAAAATCAGTCCAACTTTGATGAAATACATCAAAAATAATAACACCCAAATTTCATTTTTTGTTCCAAATATGTAGTTGTTATATTGAATCATGAATTGTAAGCACTCTGAATTTATAACTCATAACTCTACTATGGTTTGAAGTCAGATATGTCAGAGTTTTCTGTAATGAAAAAAACAAGGATCACTTAAGTCATTGCCTAAGGCTATCAAATATGGGTTGCAAAAAACAGAAACAAGGTGGCAGAGATGGTTGTTTTTTGAGCTTTGTTCTGCCAATCCTACTGTTGCCACTCTTGATAGTGGTCTGACCATTAGGGTAATGAAATAGGACTAGGAAGACACAGAATAGGCTTCAAAAAGTGTTGAAAAATACTTAGTGAAGTATTTCTCTAAGACATCAATGTTTACCAATCATGCAAAATTTAAGGTAAAAAGTTGTTTTCTTAAGCTTTACTCTGAATTATCAAGGACATTTACTTGGTCTGACAGAAAACAGACGAAAGGCCTAGGGGAGTGTTTTCTTCTCCCTACTTATAATGTCTACCTCCTTTGAGTTAAGTTTAAAATTATTTAATAATAGGTGGCTGACAGATTGCCTCTCTTCATCCAATGAAATTATTAATTTTGTGAAGTTCCCTTTTATATGCTAAATTGAGACCTGTCCTCTGCCTCAGTCACACCACATGACTGCCATGAATTACATAACAATTTGCACAATGATGTTGTTATGCAAGTGAGATCACTTCCCCAGCACCATGCGGACATTTATACTGCAATGCTGTATATATTATTTTATATCCTTGTATATTAACATTTTCATAGCTATATTAACATTCCCTCTTATATTGCTATCAGTGTATATAAGTGTATATATTCTTTTAAGAATGCATAGCTTATTTATGCCATTTTTATTCATCTTATTTTGAAAGAATTGAGACAGAAACATGTTTTTCTTCCTTCTCCACTTCATGTTTATCTCAGTACAGTAGCATTATGAGACAGGTCAGGTTTAGTTGAGCATCATGATTGTCAAAAATTTGAACTTAGGTTTATTTTTCTAAACCGACGTTATTCAGTTTTTCACACACTCTCATATAGCTTACAGGTAGACCTTGACTTAACCACATTTAAGCCCAAAATTTCTGTTACTAAGTGAGACAGTTGTTAA